CCGGGGGAAAGGCGCCGCGGCGGAGTTCACCGACCCGCCCTTTGGACGCAGGCCGAGGCGAGAGGGAGGGTGGGGGGCGGATGGCTTGGCGAAAGCCTTCGAGAACTCGACTTTCCCCCTCGCCCAGTCGCGGTTTGGAGCGGCTGGAGGGCTGGATTTTCTTCACAGGGACGGGAAGGGCCAAAACGACCCGGCGAGCGTTCACGGGCGGCTCGGCAAAGCCGGCCATCCCTCCCGCGGCGCCCTCGTTCATCGGGAAGACCACCCTGGAGTGGGGCGGTTGGGCATTGCTTGGGTGGGTCATGCCGTTGGGGTGTGGTGAAGGATACAGCCCTCAACGAGATGGAGGAAGAAGAAGAATGGAATCCCGTTAAATCGAGAAAAGAAAAACAATGAAAAACGCAAAAACGGAATAGCGTTTTTAGATATAAATCTATTTTTTTGAATACGTTAGAAATCTAGAAAAGGGTTTAACAATATAAGATGTGATAATAAAAGAGGAAAGATTGTGCTATATGAGGGAAGAGAGGAACGATAAAATGATACTCGATAGCCGATAGAGCTCCAACGCAGAACGACTTCACAACACACGTAGATAAATGAGTAGGAGGTAAAGCTAAATATTCCTATATATAGAAATATATACATTGCAATCGAATTTGTTTATTGCAATGTTATTATTAAGCACAATCTTAATCCATCCAGATACAGCCTATACTGAAGATCGATTAGTTTTACAAACAAAAGCAGTTATACAACATCAAAAAAAAATCTGATTGTGTGCTTCTACCTGTTTAAACCCATAGGCAAGAATATAAAGCATATACTATTGTTTGACAATGCTTTCTGTATTAATTAATGACCCCAGCAGCCCCAGGAACAACCTTATAAACACGCCAAAGAACATCTCGACTCAGGTGATTCCCTACCCTTTCGTTTGTTCGGATCCCGTGCGCGCTCTGTTCGTGCTGGCGAGGAACGAACCCGGGGCTTTATCGCTTAAACTTCACCTTTTGGGCCATCTTCATCATGTTGGCCATGTTGGGAATCCCCCCCCGGCCGGCGCCGGGGATCCCGCCTTCCCCTGTGAGCTGCCGCATCATGTTTTGGATTCCCTCTATATTGCCCATCTGCCGCATCATATTCGGGTCAAACATCTTCGAGAGCTGGGCCATCGGATTCCCCATAAGGCTCGAGGAGTCCTGGGTCATCGACTTTAAATTCTTCTTTCCTATTTTTTTCACGAACTCGTCGAAAAAGGCGTGGGTGGAGACGAGCTGGTGGACCTCCAAAATCGAGGTCCCGCTCCCGCGCGCGATACGGTGCATGCGGGAAGGGGTCATGATTTTCTTCACCTTCGGATCCTCCAACTCCGCGTCGTTCATGCTGTCCATGATGTGAATAAAGCGCTTGAGCATGGCCTCGTTTTGATGGCCCGAGGACTGCGCGATCCCGGCCATCCCCGGGATCATATCGATCACCTTCCCGACCGATCCCATGTTCAGGAGCTTCTGTAAGGTTTCGTGGAGATCGCGAAGGGTGAATTGGCCGTCCTGAAACCGCTTGCTAATGGCGTTGTCCTCGTCAATCTTCGCGTCTCGCATGGTGTCCATGAGGGCGGAGAAGTCGCCCATGCCGAGCATCTTCCGCACGAAGTTCTCAGGCTTGAAAATCTCAAAGTCGGTGAAGTGTTCGCCCGTCCCGATGAAGACGATCGGGCTTTGGGTCGCCGCGACGGCGGAAAGCGCCCCGCCGCCCTTCGCGTGGCAATCCATTTTAGTTAAAATCACGGAGCCGACCTTGACTTTCTCCTTAAAGTTGCGGGCCTGGTCCTTGACGGCCTGGCCGTCGGTGGCGGACATCACGAAGACGATGTCGTTCGGCCGGATCGCCGTCTCGAGATGCTTCATCTCCTCCAAAAGCGCCTCCTCCTGGCGATGCCGCCCGCTCGTATCGACCACGACGAGGTCGAAGTTTTCTTTTCGCAGGGCCTCGACGCCCTCCTTCGCGATCCGCACGGCGTCGGCCTCGGTGAGGGAGCCGTAAAAGCGAATATTCATCTTCGCGGCGTTCTGGCGGAGCTGATCGTAGGCCCCGGCGCGAAAGGTGTCCGCGCAGACGACGCCGACCTTCAGGCCTTTGCGTTGGAAGTAGGCCGCGTATTTCGTGCAGGAGGTCGTCTTCCCCGCCCCTTGCAGGCCGACAAACAACACCACGCTGGGCTTTCCCTTGGCGGGCTGGAAGGCCGCGACGCCGGGGTTGAGAAGGCGCGTGAGGCCTCGAATGACGGCGTTTTGCAGGATTTTGCGTTTGTTCAGCCCGGCCCCGTCCTCGGCCTGCAGGAGGGCCGCCTTGACGTCGTCCTGCAGCGTCTTGACGAGGGCGATGTTGACATCCCCCTGAAGCAGCGCCCGCGCGATCTCGTTGAGCAGGTCCTTGACGTCGTCCTCCTGCAGGATGGACTTGGCGGAGATCTTTTGCAGGGCCTGCGTGATCTTCTGCCCGATTTCCGCGAGGACCATTTTTATATATTTTTTTTTTTTTGAGGGGGTAGGGGGTAAGAGGGGGGAGGGGGAGGGGGAGACCCGGTTTGAAGGGGATGGGCTGATTTAA